AGGCCCGCGACGGCCGCACCTCCAAGAGCCGGCAGCGGCCCATCCACAAGAGCATGGAGCCGCCCGTGCTGTCGTTCTACGGCACCCAGCCCGTGCCGCTGCCCTCGCGCTTCGCCAGCCTGAAGCGGCGCCTGGTGCAGGGCCACGAGGATGCGCTGGAGGCGTCGTGGGGCCGTCTACTCAAAGCCCTGCGCGAGGACATCCGGCACATCGAGCAGCACGGGTCGGAGGTGATCCCGTCGATCGCGTTCGGCGACATCGACGACCCGGCGCGGGTGGCGCCCTTCCGGGAGAGCCTGCAGCGGCACGGCATCGGCGTGGTGCGGGGCGTGGTGCCGCCGCGCGACGCCGCCGCCTGGGTGGCCGAGACCCAGGAGTACCTCGAGACCAAGCACGAGTTCAAGCCGCCGCCGGCCCAGGACCCGACCTGCTTCGACTTCTTCTGGACGCCGGCCCAGGTGCGCGCCCGCGCCCACCCCCACGTCCTGCGCGCCCAGCGCTTCGCCATGTCGCTGTGGAACCAGAACAACGACGACCGCCTCGCCACCCGCTTCCCCATCACCTACGCCGACCGCCTGCGCCTCGAGTCCGTCGCCGCCAACGGCAGCCTGACCATCAACGGCGCCGCCACCGCCGCCCCCGCCACCCCCGAGGACCACCTGATCGCCGCCGCCGCCGCCGCCTCGACCGCCCAGATCGCCCAGGTCGACAACGGCAGCCTGGAGCGCTGGGAGCAGGACGGCTACGGCCGCTGCGGCCTCTACGACGCCATCTTCCGCGGCGACTGGGAGGCCTACGACGCCTGGGACCCGGCCGGCCGCATCAACGCCACGTCGGACCTGTACAACGGCGCGGGCGCGTGCTCGATGATGCGCCTGTTCCAGGGCATTCTGGCGCTGACGGTGGTCGAGCCGGGCATGATCCGGCTGCTGCCGTCGCCCAAGCTGTCGACGGCCTACTTCCTGCTGCGGCCCTTCTTCTCGCCCAAGAGCGGGCCGCCCGAGGCCGGCGCCCCCGACTACGCCGCCCGCTGGGAGGCGTACCTGGACGCGGCCAACTGGCAGTTCGACCGCGAGCAGTCGACCATCATCCACGGCGCGGTGCCGGGCCACGCGCAGCGCGTGACCGCCGCCTGGCACCCGCACCTGCAGCTGGACCGCAGCCTGGTGACCCCGCCGACCCTGCAGGCCGGCGACTATATTGTGTGGCACCCGGACCAGGCCTACCAGTTCAGCAACACCAACTACCGGACGACGTCGCGGCCGCAGTCGGCGCCTGCCGGGGGCGGCGAGCCTGCTGCTTCCTCTGCTTCTTCTTGTTCTAACAGCAACAGTAATACCACCACCACCACGACAACAGCAGCAGGAGGAAAGAAGGAAGGAGGAGGAGAAGGAGGAGACCCGACCTCCACCACCATGCTGGTCTACACCCCCGCCGCCCCGCTGACGCAGACCAACGCGCTCTTCCTGGCGCGCCAGCGCAAGGCCTTCCTGCGCGGCCACCCGGGCCCGGACTTCGACAGTACGGGCACGGGGCTGGGCAGCGAGGCGCCGCACACGGGCCGCCTGGGCGAGAAGGAGATCCGCGACGTCGGCGGCGAGGAGGGCCTGCAGGCCATGGGGCTGGCGCCCTGGAGCCTGTCGCCCAAGGCTTCGCCGCCCGCCACGGACGACAACGAGAAGCGCGATGTCGATATGCTGGGGGGGTCCACATCGACGCCGGGGTCGGGGTCGGGGTCGGGGTCGGGGTCCTCGCACGCCGAGGCCGAGGTCGTGCGCTTGGCCAATATTATCCTGTTCCCGGATCGCTACGATTTCTACATGCCTACGCGCGCTAGTAGCCCGGCGCCGAAGGAGAAGGAGAAAGAGAAGGAGAAGGAGAGGGAGAGGGATGCAGGCCCCAAGGCGTAGGGAGAGAGAAGATAGATGCTGTCTGTCTGTCTGTCTGTCTCAGGGGGGCTGTTAAACACTCACACACACACACACACACACACACCCGTTTCACGCATGGAGGGGAATGCGTGCATGCATGCGGTAACTACTTTAGTTAGTTACCACCTGAAGTTAATCATCGAAAGAACGCCTCTTTTTGTATATAGTCATCATCATCATCAGCAGCAGCAGCAGCAGCAAGCTAGCTAGCTAATTGCTGCAATTGATATACCGTCATACTTGCATGTTTATGTCTACTTCACGGGGCACTGAGCGGACCGACTCGTAATGGTGTACATATGTACGCCTCTGGGCTTTGACTACCTTAACTTGTGCCACTACATGTGTTTTTATATATGCGTTACAAGATGCTTAGGAAGGAAAAGACGGTGTCTTGCTTATGGTGTTAGCTGTCCGTCGCGGTTGATGGTGCTCTTAGGGTAATAAGACCAACGGCCAGCAATGTGTGCGTGTGACAATGCGAGTCGGAATGCCATAATGTCACTCGCGCAGTCACAACTATAGCCCCATGGCAGCGGGATATCGCTTGATTCCTGAAAGGGTTGTCTTTTGGTTCTCTTTTTCCGTCCCAAGTGTGAGAGAGATGGCAACTTCGTTAGTTACAAGAACTTCTTCCTATCTTCCCATACCAGTCCCTCGGGACGGTCATCATCGTGCGTCCATACGAACAAATGACACCATTTTCTTGCACGCCACAGAACCCACACCGGCCGAGGAAGTTGGGGTGAAGAGATGCTCCCATACTACTTAGAAGCACTCCAAAAAGTCCAGGCCCAAGGGACTCTTGGCCAACCATCGGTTGAAGCCATCGTTGCTCCATGAGGTCCACTTTGCCATCCCAGCGTCAGCGAGATACACGACCTCGCACAGCGGCCAAATCGACGCCCCTAACCCACTCTTGGCATGAAACCTGTCGCTGGTTGGTTATTGGCATAGTTGTAGAAGGTTTGCTGCAAGTCCATCACCTTCAGTTCATGCGTTTTGCAGTACTTCTTGATGCGGTCATGCCTCTCTGGCGGAATGCCCTTGAAGTTGAGCAAGATGGGTCTAGATGCAACCGGCTTCTTCGCGGTATCGGCCGGCTGCTTCTTGTTGTTATTGTAGAAAGGCTCCCCCACACGACAGAGCATGTTTAGCGCGACTGGTTCCTTTCCGGGACGGCCCCCTTCCGTTTTAGATGGGGTGGAAAGGTCTTTGATTGCAATCAGCATGATGTCGTCCAGGGATTCGAAGGTGATGAACATGTTGGTCCCCGTCTTTGGCGAAGAGACGGCAATGCCGGCATCGAGGAACCATACATCAGCTGGGTTTGTCAGCAGCGTGCACTGTCATATGCTATGGGCTCACGCACCCTTGGTCTTAGGTTTCAGCGAGGTTGCTTCGGACTCTTCCTCCAGGGTTGCAGTAGTTCGAAAAGCGTGTTCCGTGTCGGGTTCACCGGTAACGTCGATGACGGCCTTCTCGAACGGGGCAAGCTGTTTGTCGAGCACCTCCTTGAGACCGGCCAGGTAGAAGTCGTCCTTGCCCTTTCGGTATTGCCAATCGAATGAGACTATTTGGGGGTACTTTCTCTTGATAGAAGAGGCCCCGGTCGCTGCCGTGGGCACGATGAGAACACGGTGTCTGTTGCCATGCGCCAGTGCGATGATTTGCTCTGCAGTTTGTGAGCAAGGCCACCCTCGTAGTGCACCACCCTTCGGGGTTCGCTCGGAGGGCTTCTTACCAGCATGAACGAAAGGAAACAAGCACACCACAGGGTTCTCCGGCTGCTCCGTGATAGAGCGTCCCTCCTCTTCCATGCGAATGGATCCATTGCCATCTTCTACGGTCGTAGAGGACCTAGAGTCCCCAGAGTCGACCTCAATCCTGCCCTTCGCCTCAAAGGGCGCTTGAAATGTCAGCAGAGGGGACTGGTGGAGGCAATGGCCACAGCCTATTCCACTCAGATCGTGGACACCCTGGTAGTACTGTCGCTTCCATTCAAGGTCTTCCTCTGTCTTCTGGCCTTTGCCTGCCTCGGCAGCAGTCTTTGGCTTCTTCGGGACCTCTTCTGGCTGCGAATCGGCGAAAGCATCGTCATCATCATGCTTTCGCTTGGGTGCAGACTGCGATCGGTTTCTAGGCATCTTTGCAGTGATGCGCTTCTGCCTGGGGACGATACGCTATCTCGAAACTTGCTCTATCGACAAGTGCTGGGACAAAGTGATTACCGAAGAAGCAAACAGTTTGGATTTTCAACGTGCGCTGTGTGGCTGCAATCGGTGGAAGTAGCGCGGAAGCGTCCAGTTGAACGTCGTACCTACCTCAACTAAATACTTCCGTCCCAGGCCGTTCGGTCTCGCTGTTTCCTCTCCAGTGAGGTATGATATCATACCTCTAAACCCGATCCGGGATACGCGTTCCTCGAAGGGGACCGAAAACAAGCGCACGCGCTCTCACGTGATAATTCTTTTCCGCCTCGACCGGCTTTCCTCGGTGGTCATTCCTCTCGACCTCCACTTTGGGATGTCTAAACAGCCGTCCACAAAGGTGAAAGGGCCTTGGGAATTCGCAGAAGAAAATTGGAGTTAGATAACTGTGTGAAGTTACACCCATCATTCGGTAAATAGGTAGTTTGCAGGTTTGATTGAGTAATTGACTACCTAGGTAGGTAGTTTGGGGACTTCTTAAAGAGCATTCTTTCGTCGGCCGTCATGATCCGGTTCGAGGGGTTCTACCGACCGGAGCGGGCGTACAGCAGCGACCTGGCTTCGGAATGATCAACAGGCGCTCGTTTGCCAACGTCCTCTGAAAGGTCTCGTTTTAATGGTACATTCGCAAATGGTGGAATGGCGAAACCGATAGCCTGGAGGCAGGCGAAGGCTAGTCAGGTACCGAAGCTAGGGGATCTTGGTGCTCCGTCAATCGCCAGAACCCTGCCGATAGCCCACACTTGCACACAACCCAAGTCGACCCGCAATGCAAAATTTGCTCTACTTATACCTCGTTACCGTCGCCAATTCCCCATCAAATCACAGCTTCGTCGAATCATTTCGATAGAAACCAAACGGTCGAGTGGTGTAGTTGGTTATCACGTCAGTCTAACATGCCTTGGTCTCGGAAAGAGATTCAGACAGTTTCACTGAAGGTCTCCGGTTCAAGTCCGGGCTCGATCAGCTTTTATTTTTTGACTTGTCGGCGTGGGGGTTGCTATTCCCCAGGCGCTGAAGGCTTGAAGGCTGAAGGCTCACGTGTGAGTGCGAAAATGCTTGGGTACTGACGAGGGACGGGAGCGTTGCAGTGCAGACCTGACTCCCGGGGCACCGGGCGAGGTAGGTCGGCAGGTCGGCAGGTTCATCCGGTCGTATTTTTGGGGTCTGTCCCGGGTTGCTGGGCGAGGCAGGTTCAACCGGTCGTATCAAGTGTTGGGGGTTTTCCCACCTCCAGGGCTGCCCTGCTCTCTGCCTTGTTCCCGGCATTCATCGCCCCGGGGATATGCAGGGCAAGCCCGCGGGTGTTGGAGATGACAGAACAGCGAGGACGAGAGCGTGAGCGTGAGCGTGAGAGCACGTGGTATGAGTGCTGCATTTGCCACCTCTGCACAAGGCACATGAGGTCTGCTGTTAGGGAGGGTAGCCTTGGTGGGCAGGATGAGACAGGACGGCAGACCAAGTTGGACGAGGACAGCGATGCGAGAGCGGTTGCTCGCATGCCCGATACCTACGACGTATTATAGTGAATCACGGCTACGAGCTGATCACTGGTGGCTTATGTAGGAGAAAATGTCAGGCGGCGCGCTAATGGCGGGGTGTATTGTTCTTGCGAACTACGTAGGTAGGTTTGAATGCGCCGAGTAGAGCTTGTTTGCCTGTCATCCCTAACAATCCCAAATTGGGAGAGGAGCAGATCAACACACTAAATGGACACAGAAGTCCCAGGAGAAAAGGAAATAACGGGCGCTCCCGAAACTAGGGATGCCTCTTGATATCATGATCCCAAGACGCGCAACACCACCAAACCACACTGTCTCATCGCTAAGAACGCATACAACGCCTGAGCTGTCAAAAGAGTGTAATGGTCGGAAGCAATTTTCTCAGCTCGCACAATAATACGAAATATTTGGGAATCCAAATTCGTTCGTAAGCTCCATCTCGACTCGATTCGTCCGTAAAGAGGTAGGGTAAGATGCGATGTAGATGGCGCTACCGACGCTGCTGCTGCTGCTGCTGCTGCTGGCCCGGGAGATGTTGGGCAGTGGAGGCCAAGATGGCGGCCATGCGATCGCGGGCCTGGGCCTCGGTCAGCGGCGTGTGCAGGAACCCTGCAGGCCTCAGCGGGCGGTCGTCAACGTGGGTATGCGGGTTCAGGAATCGCTGCATGCTGTAGCGGGCGTCGTTCGGCACGTGAAGGTTCGGTCGGGGGCCGTCTCCCGTGCCCGGCGCAGCGGTATCGCGGACGCTATTTTAGTCGCTGGGTTAGCGGGGAAGTCCCCTGAAGACACGGACGAGGGGCTGGAATGTGGATATTTGCGACCACGTCTTCAGCGGGAGGGACCGAAGACGCGGGACGAGACTGGAATGTGGAAAGGGACGACATCTTCAGCTCGAAAGACTGAAGACTTCAGACTGGAATGTGAACAGGGACAACATCTCCAGTCCGATAGAAATGAGAGACGTGTTCGCTAACAGAAGAAAGCTTACTTCAGGTACTGGCCCGCCCGCATGGAGGCGTTGCTGGTTCTGTAACCCTTGCTGCTGGCCATCGTTTCGTCCCTGGCTAGTGAAGCTGGTGGGTGTAGCGCGGGGTCCTAGCGACTGCGACGGTTGGTTGCGTGCTTATCTCCCAGATCGTCGGGAGAGCTTGGTTGGCGGCTGGGTCTCTGGGGTTTCCCCAACTGGTAATAACAGAAGACGCTTGTAAGTGGCAGAGTGGTAGTAGTGTCTTGTAAGCAGTCAACACAAGACTGAAGGATAGTAAAGCAAAGCGCGAAACTTCGAGTGTTACTGCCACGAGTAAGTCAAAGTGGAAAAGACTCAAATGAGGACTCCAGGCGACCTTAAATAAGGATGGGAAAAGGTAAGAAGGTGAGAAACATCACGGACCACCCAAGCAGTCAGCCAACGAGAAGACTCGACTTCGCACTGAGCTCAGATACAGACGAAAGAGCCAACACGGCGGCCGTAGAGGCATCTTGCGCATCTACCAGTACGAGTCTCGAGGCCTTCGATCCCCACCACACCAAAGTCCCCAAGGCTGACCGGCCGGACACTCCCCCAAGAGAGTCTCTGGAATGTTGTTTGCGTGTCATCCGCTTCGCCATGTCAGGATCTTCGCCGGGGTATGGCAGCTCTACGTGAGAGGCCCTCCAATAGCGTGATGTCACTCGAACAGCACCCGAAGCGCCTTTCCTAGGTGTCGCTTTAGTTACTGCAGAGTGGTCGGTGCACGGGGTGCACTTCACGGGACCTTGAACAGAAGGTTTTCCGCAAGTCTACTGAGGAAAGGTGGCGAGCAAGCCTGCGCGACTTGAACCCCCTCGAGATCCTCACTTGAAGCTCGATATTCAATCCGCAACAACACCATCGTCTCTGATTGGCGCAATATCTAGTCAACGCTAATATGGAAGCCAGAGGCATCCGATACCCTTCCTAACTTTTTGTCTCTAGGAAGAAGCTTGCTTTCTTGTTCAAAACGACGTTGAAATGAATGTTTATGTCGCGGTATGGCTGGAAGTGACTTCGGATGGGTCTGTGATATGTTTATTTTGTGGAGCGCGAGGGCGGTAGCAGAGATGTATGGACGCAATGGTGTGCGAAAGAGCAAGGCGGAGAGCAGGGATCGAACGACGCACTTATAAAGGACACACGTATAGGGGGAGGTACTGCAAGTGTGGAACAGGCGACGGGTTGACAGGGTAGGCCCTGGAAGGTAGGTATGTCCTTGGATGTCCATCTACAAGCCAACACTGCCCAATCTACATTATAGACACGTGCTTTCCTAGGTGATCAGCTTACCTAGGAGGTACGATAAGGTATAGTCGACGATAGGGGACCGGCACGCGACGCCGGTCCCACATCCTCTGGAATGCATCTGCACCTGCCTGGAACTATTGAAAGATTCTCAACCGTCGCTCATACCCTACCCATCAAACCACCCTTTGGGAACGCCGTACGCAGATGCCTCCAGCTCTACCTAGTACACCTACACCTTCCCGACCCCCCACTCCCCACCAACAATTCTACCTACTGACTATTCATCGTAAAACCATTCACTTCATGGACGTTGCTTTACTGCGGCTTGCTTCCAGAAGATCGTGCTAAGAACGTCCTCAACTCCACCGAACACTGGGACAGACTGCTCTCTCGGAAAGTGACATAGCAGCAAGCCAAACCCCAAGACCTACTTGGGTAAGGTAACCAACCCAGGCGACGGAAGACTCGAAGTGTTCGTGGGTTGCCAAGCGCGTTTCATGGGCAGTGCTGGCCCTTGTAAGCACCGCGGGCCAGACCAGACCACTCCGGCGAAAGGCCAGAGACTGTCAGCACGTCATGAGGCAGAATCCATGCCCGAAGAATGTTTGCGTTTCGTACCAAGTGATCCAGACACCCCAGCGTCTCGGACTTTAGATATTGATGAGAGATAACAGAAGGCGCCCGCCAAGACAGAAAACCAAAAAAACCATGCCACCTGGATGTGTCCGCGGCCAGGTCTGATGGCATCTCGGGCAAGAGTCGAGCTGAGACGGGACTTGCCTGCTCCGGCTCCATCCCATACCTGTCATTCGCTGCTGCACAGGACTTATGCACACCACCCCTCGTGTTCCCTGTTGGTTTCTGGAAGAAGACCAATAGCACCTAGACGACCGTACCGTGGAACGCCAGCAAGCACCAGCGTATCCACGGGGCCACCCAGAAGAACCGGTCAATGGCTCAAGGCAATGGCTTGCATGAGACCAGGGTACGTGATACTACGGGGGGAACGATCCGGGACTCTGCCTCTGCCCTGCGCCCCCCCTCTCCGGCTGCGCGTACTGCGCATTGTTGTGGTCCGTGCCGCTCTTTCGGTGCGGTGTCCTGAGATATGGTCGCGGCCCGACGATTGGGTTGCCTGAACGGTTTAGCCAGCACTGGGTACTCGCCCGGCTTGCCCAGTCGAGGAAGATGGATGGACGGATGGTTCGCCAAACCTGCACGACAGACGCTTTTGGCAGCTACACATGGGGAACAGGGGTCCTCGGTGCCGATCATCTCGCACTCTCGTTGACTCATATGTATGCGAGACGATGATGCCCCGGCTGGAGCAGGCGGAAGGAGCATGGGAAAACACACCGCTGGCACGCTGCTACGTCTTTGCCGATCCCGTGAAGTTGAGCCAGTCGGGCTACAGACGGGAGCAAGGTGAGTTTTTCGGATGACAGAAACTTGACTAACTGAGGCATTACACAAACACCCACGAGGCAAGACGGAGGGGATCAAGATACCCCCATCACGAACCTTTGCCTGACGTACACTGCTAGTACGATGTGACCACCAGCTTCGTGTGTGACGGTCTACAGACAACCTAAAGACTTCCCAGCTGTTCCAACCTAAGGCGATCACCTGTACCACAGCCTACCTACATTCGCTCCACTTCTCCGGAATCCGAACCTCCATGATCCTGAGCGACAGAGTCCTACTTACAACGTTCCGAAGGTCCAAGAGCTCTCCCAAGAGTACGCCTGTTCCGGACCGGTGATCTCGTCGTCTCTGTGGCCCCATTCGGGACTATCCGCAGCGGGTCAGTACATTTCATTCATCCATCGACTCGTCCCGCTTGCTGGACCCCAAGAAGCTGACCAAGTCGACTCACTGATTGATGCCATCGACAAAATTCTGCGCCTCGATAGCCACGCACGAGCTCCTCGTCACCTTCTTGTTCTTCTCGGTGCCCTGGGTGCTCTTCAGGTCGGCGGAGCCGTCCATCCAGTTGCACGTATACAAGACCACACCGTTCTGGTCGGTTCGGAGCTCCGCGCGCACGCCGGAGAAGGGGCTGGCGAGCGTGAGCACAGGCGCGCCGGCGGGCGCGTCCTCGATCAGGAAGTAGCCGTTGTAGCCCTCGCAGGCACCGCCGCCGGCGTCGCAGTTACCGGCGAAGGCCGGGTCGGCGCGCGCGTGGCCCAGGGGCAGGTCGGCCG